TGAAAAACATCCCAGTAACATAACAACAGAAGATTAAATCAATGAGCAACCCATTTCTAAAATGATAGGACTGAATTACCACCTATTCATATTAACCCTAAATGTAAATGACTTAAATTCATCAATCAAACATCATAGATTAGTAGATTGGATCAAAAAGCAAAACCCATCTATCTGTTCCCTGCAGGAGACATACCTCCCCTACAAAGATCAGCAGAAATTGTATGTCATGGATTTTGATGTTTTTGTTTTTGTTTCTTCAAATACTTTTTTTTTCTCATATGAAATTCCTCACTGACTCATAGGTTATACAATGGCATCATTTTCTTCAAGAAAGTTCTTGATTTTCGTTTCTTCAGCAACATATTAGTCATCCAGTAGCATATTATTTAACTTCATGTTGCGAATTTCTGTTTTTCTTCCTGTTGTTGATTTTGTATTGTGGCTTTTCATTTAAGGGGATGTATAGTAGCTGTGTAATGGAGACTGTTATATCCAGATGTGAGGGTACAGTGCAGTATGCATATCTATTCTGGATCAAAGGTGGATTCCCAATGAAACTGTTAAATATATCTCGACAATAGTATGCTGGCCACTCTGCCATCTTCCATGCCCGAAATGATGGACTTATGACTGTTTATGAAGAACTGTACTATTAATTGTACACGGTTGCATTCTTTTGAGTTTTTAGTCCCAGGTATATTTTAATCAAAAGAGAAAGGGGAAATATACTGTATTTTTGGGTTTTTTTCTTAATTATTTGTGCAATTGCCTCTGTAATGGATTTGAAATAAATAACTTAAGTTTAGGTATGCAGAACTTGAGGCTTGTTTTCTTAAAGTAAAACAGCTTATCACTCTGAAATCAGTCATATTGAGTAACTAGTTTTAATTATGCAAATTAGTAATGTCAGCCTGGTTTGGATTATAACTCATTTCTTTAGGAAAAAAATATCAAGGGACTGGCATTGTGGCTCACTGAATTTACTCTGCATGTGCGGAACTGTACTCTCTTATTAGTGTCAGGCCAAACAGCTGCTTCCAATCCAGCTTTCTGTTACTATAACTAGGATGGTAAAGGAAGACGGCCCAAATATGTGGTCCCTGCCACTCCTGTGGGATTCCAGCACCAACTTCTCGGCCTCATTCCAGTCCCAGACTTGACTGTACAGCCTTTTGAGGAGCGACCCAGAAGGTCTTTCTCTTTCACTCTCCCTTCCTCCCCCATCTCTCCTTTCTTTCCCTCTTTCTCTTCTTGACACTCTGCCTTTCAGATAGTCTTTTTTTTCCTAATTGCACAAGTGGCAGTATCCTTTTGTCTTCCTTGCACTTCAGAGTCTAGTCTGAAATATCAAGAGAAGATATTGATAATGTTGTGTTATTGCCTCGCAGATGGATGATGTCACAAAATCTTTTTCAGGGTTTACCATTAATAGAGTCAAAGTCAAGTTTTAGGAATTAAAACATTTTTATTTCTCAGTGAAGTTTGGATTTCGCAAATAAAATATGCTCTACATTTAGTCTATTGTCTGAATTATAAAATTGCAAGACTACTTTGGAGGCCAAGAGCCATGTTAACCTTTTGTTCTCATTGCATTTTGCCTGTTTTCTTTGCTCCCCAGAGCAGCAGAATTGTCTTTCAAAATCTAGCTTTAGTTGAGAACAACTGAAGAATTAATAAAAAATTAATGTAGAACTTTAAAAATGTATTTTAAATTCTTCTGCTGTAGTTGCAATTGAGAATTTTGCAGCAGTTGAAGTTATATTTTAATAGATCAATTCCTTTATTTTCTTGTGTATTATTATTTTCCAACAAAATAGAATTCACCGTTTCCATCACAGTATGATTGTAAAATGATTGATAGAAATTGCTAGTAATGCAGGATATCTCTGCTCTTAAAATAGTGCATTTCAGTATTTGCACTAGTTCCAAAATGTTCTACCTCTCATGTCAAATTAAATGTTAAGCTGATAGTCTGAACCTATTAAAACAAATCTTCCCTATATATCAGTGTTTCAAATCACAATATTCTAAATGTGCTTGTTCTATAATAACAAATTCTCTTTCTTTAAAAATTCACTTTTCATGATGTAATTATTGAGGGCAAGTACATGCATAGGGCAGAAAAAATTAATTAGATGTAGAACTCCAACTGACTCTAACTGTGTCTAATGAATAAGTCCATTCTATCAGCAACATTTGAAGGCCTTGAACAGTAAAACATTTTCTACAAGGTGTTTGTTATTCTTTCCTAGAGATTTAATACCACTTATGAAATTCTTTTAGCTACTTAATTTCAGCTGAAATATGAGTAACAAAGAAGTAATTCTTTCAATTAATTAGCTAATATTTTAGTGTTCATATATTGGAGTAAATCAACATTTTGATTTTCTTTTTCTGGCATTCTGTTTAGAACTTGGTGCAAACAGATGTTGGTAGCATTCTGTGAAATGTTCAGCAAAATGGGAAAGTATCACAGTAACAGAAATTTTATAAACCGTTATTGGTATTTTTCTATTATTTTCATGTTACTAACCCAATGATCATTTAGTTATCATCTCCAAATCTCTAATTTTGGCTATCTCAGATTAAATATGGTTCTTTGCTTTTTTTGTTAATTATTTTGCATCTTGATTTTCTGGTTTTATATATAATCATCGAAGGACTTATTTTTATGTCTGATTAAACTATCATAATTGTTACAGTTGACACCATGTTTTCTGACAGCATTATTTGGTTGCAAGGAATAACCACACAGAATAGTAAAGCTGGTAACACACACACACACACACACACACACACACACACACACACACACACACAGAAAAATCCTCCTTGCTTTTATTATCTGCCTTAAATAAAAACTTAGTGGATGTAAATATCACTATTTTACACAAGAAATGATCACTAAGGTAATTGTTCGTGAATTTTTTTTCTCTGTTTTCTCCTGCACAAAACTCACTAGTAAAAATTTACTTTATAATAACAATGATTTCATCTTCAATTCGATGGACTCAGCAGACTTTATTGGGTCAAGAATTTTCAAAAAAAAATATGTTTTCTCTGTTTTTCAATGTTGGATATCTGAACAATGATATCTCTGAAATATAAGCACCTTTGATGAATTTTCATTATGTGCATTTATATTTTGTTTCAAAATGAAAATCTTCTAATATCCTTGGAAAATGACAATTTCTTTAGTGTGTTACTGAAGTGAGCATCAGTCACATTTTTTTAAAAAAGATTTATTTATTTTTTATTGCAAAGTCAGATAAATATAGAGGAGGAGAGACAGAGAAAGACCTTCCGTCCAATGATTCTCTCCCCAATGACCACAACAGCTGGTCTGCACTGATCTGAAGCCAGGAGCCAGGAACTTCCTCCAGGTCTCCCATGCGGGTGCAGGTTCCCAAGGCCAAAGCAGTACTGCACTGCTTTCCCAGGCCACAAGCAGGGAGCTGGATGGGAAGTGGAGCTGCCAGGATTTGAACCGGTGCCCATATGGGATCCCGGCGCACTGAAGGCGAGGACTTTAGCCACTAGGCCACGCCACACCAGGCCCAGTCACATTTTTTAATAGACAATTTTTATATCTTCTCTACTAAACCTCGCACTTCAGTTCTAGGGGAAATGTGAAGGTCATACTTTCTTTTGAAATGAAACAGTGGCTGAAATTTTTATAGGCTTGAATGTTACATTATCGGTAGAATGCTACAAATGTCTTAAAACAATAGTGAATTTATAATGAAAATTGCAGTATTTAATCATGTTTTATATAAATAATCTGAATGTCATTATATGACTCAAACTGACTAATTTTTCAGGCCACAAAAATTTACCTAACTGTAGATAAGAATTTAGGATTCAAACAATGTAATTTACTTTCACAAGTATTTCCTAAAAAAGCAATCAACAATCAGTCATTCTTATTAACCTTGTACGGCCAAGTATTAAAATAGAAACTAGATATAATTCCTCAAAAAAAAAAGAACTTCTGCCCTCATATGATTCCCAGTTTATTACAGAACATTTTATAATGATCATTTGATAAGGGCATCACCAAAACACATGAAGAAACTGTAACAGAAGTCTGAGTCTAAACTATTTTATGGCAATGCCAAATGAAATTGTGCCACAAGTGTCTTGTTATAAGAAATGAGCTGATCTACATGGGTTTCCTGATGCAGAAGCATTTGACTTACATCCTGAAAGAATTCTCAGAGTTGAACCAGCAGACTAAGGAGAAAGGTGGTCTAGGTCGAGATTCTAATATGCTTGTAAGTCAGAACACAGAGGATTGTAGAAATCAAGCTACGTAAAAGTGAAGCCAGTGGAGCCTGCAGGGAAATTCTCTAAGGTCATCAGGTACCCTTGTCTATGAAAGTTTGATTTCATTTTCTAGACATCAATTTAAGGAGGGATCTTTAAGGAGTTTCATATGAATGATTGTTTATAGCTTAACTACATATAATCAACACAGAGTATTGAGAGGTACAAAGTTAATAATATAGTTTGGAATTACTGAAATATTCTTACTGTAATTATTATCTGTGTATTTTTTTCATTAAGAGTTGTTTAAATATGTGAAAGTGGCTGAAGAGTCATGGGACAAAGTCAGAAGTGAAAGTACCAATTATTTTACTGTTTTTTTAATCTCTCAGAAGTATCATTGCCCATATTCTATATATTTGTTATTCTGTAAGTATAATTTGAGATTAGTAATAAAAATGATTGTACATATTAACTTGTTGCTGTTTTCAGGCTTTAATCAAGCAAACTGCATATTTTTTCTTTTATGAGTATTGAACAAATATAATGTATTAGAAGGTAGTTATTTATATGATTCAACTTTTATTGGACTTTTTCTCTATAGTTAAGTCTCAGTGTTCTGCAGTCTCATTGAGTGCTCCATCTGAAGTCAAAAGTAAACTTAATTATAACAGGCTAGATTTGTACAACCCAAATGCCTGCGCCAACTGATTTGATCTGCTTGCTTACAGAAAGCCATATCCTGGAAGATGTTAACAAGTGCATCATCGCCTTGAGAGATCAGGATGCTGATAATTTAGACCGTGCTGCAGGTGCAATCAGAGGACGGGCAGCAAGAGTTGCTCATATCGTCACGGGTGAAATGGACAGTTACGAGCCAGGGGCTTACACTGAAGGTGTGATGAAACATGTTAACTTCCTTACAAGCACTGGTAAGTCTCCATCCTTGTAACAGCTGCATTGTTCCTGATGTTGGCATCTATAGAGCTGCCAAATGTGCGTGCACGTGGAAAGAGAATCTTGAGCTTCGTTGCTTGTTTTGACACACAGTGTGATCAGTGCTTTTATCTTGTGCTTATGTCATTTGAAATTTGTCTCAAGGAAATCAGACTTTAGCCAGCTTTGTTCAGATATGCAGGTTTTCCAGTAGAATTAAAACTTATGTAACAGGGCTGGGCACAGTAGCCTAGTGACAAAAGTCCTTGCCTTACATGCACCGGGATCCCATATAGGCACCAGTTCTAATTCTGGCAGCTTTGCTTCCCTTCCAGCTCCCTGCTTGTGGCCTGGGAAAGCAGTTGAGGATGGTCCAAAGCCTTGGGGCCCTGCACCCATGTGGGAGACTCAGAAGTAGCTCCAGGCTCCTGCCTTTGGATCAGCTCAGCTGGGGCCATTGTGGCCACTTGGGGAGTGAGTCAGCGGAGAGATCTTCCTCTCTGTCTCTCCTCCTCTTACACTTAACAATAAAAAATAAATAACAATAAATCTTTTTATAAAACTTATATAAAAACACTTACATAATAGACCCCAGACCCTTCTTTAGCTGTGTTATTGATAACCCAGATCTTTGTTTATGTTACTTAGAATAAGTCTGTCCTTTGTTTCCAGAAAAGAAAAATGCAGTCTACCTTCATCAGCAGTCTGTTTGCAAAACAACATTTTGTTCTTACACATAAACTTCTCTGATCACCTAGGGAGTAAAACAATGGATTTCAGTTGTACCACAGAAGTTGATATTTTGTAGAATCAGCCAGCAAGTGCTTACTTTTTCATTCATGCAGTAAAATGGCATTCCTATGTTTAATAATATTGTTTGTTATCCAAAAAGTGTACAGAAGTTTCACAATGTATGTGGATTCACTCACAAGAGTGATAAACTGTTTATGTAAGTCATAATGCAAAGACTTCTTTTCTATGAAAACTCTTTGTGATCTGTGAAATTTTAATTTTTATTATTTTATTTATTTATTTTTTTAAGCTAACACTTTTGATACCAACATCCACAAGGGTGCTATTTTGAGGCCCAGCTGCTCTACTTTTTCTTTTTTAAAAGATTTATTTTTGTTGGAAAGTTAGAAATACAGAGAGGAAGATCTTCTTTCTGCTGATTCACTCCTCAAGCAGCCGCAAAGACTAGAGCTGAGCTGATCAGAAACCTCTTCCGGATCCCTCAAGCAGGTACAGGGTCCTAAGACTTTGGGTTATCCTCCATTGCCTTCCCAGGCCACAAGCAGGGAGTTGGATTAGGAAATGGGGCCGCCAGGATTGGAACTGGTGCCCATATGGGATCCCAGCGCTTGCAAGGTAAGGACTTCAGCAGCTAGGCTAATGTGCTGGGCCCCCCAGGTTAATTTTTTTTATGGTATTGTCTCTTAGCCCTAGAGTGATGATCCTATGATTCCCCAAAATATTTCCAGTTCTATACTGAAATTATTGATCCTATAGCATCATTATTTGCTTTATGCAAAGGTATATTGAATTTGGAAGAGTTGTGCATTGTTAAAGTGTTTTTTAAGTTGCGTCTTCAAATGAATTAAGAGAAAATCACCAGTTGAGTAGCCTGCACTAGACCCGTTCTGAAGAGCTACCCCACACCCTCAAGAAGGTTTCACGGAATTGGTGATTAATGTTGTTGATTTGCTGGCATGTTGATGCAGAAAAGCACTAATGAGTTGTGAAACGTGGTTTTCTCATTATATTAACAAAACAACAAAAAATATATTAAGGAAACACAAAGGAGTGTGTTTTGCAACTCCTGACACAGATTTTCCTTAAACACTCCCCAAACTCACGAATGTCAGAAATGGAACACATCCCAGTTGCTTTTGCACTGAGTGTGACAGTGTATTTCCTCGCTTAAGAGCATGACTGTGTAATTTGACATCTCTTCCCCAAACTCCACTGAAATGGTCCTTTTAAGTGATCCTTTCTTTGTCTAAATCAAGTACAGAATATCTACATTTCTGATTTTCTTCTACTTTCTGATGAATGAATTACAAGTAAGAGGAAAAAAGTTATCAAGTATTCTCTTTCACGTGTTCTCTTTTAAGTCAAATGAGCATCCCTTATGGGTAATTGAAGAGATAAAGTCTACCCAGACGACTCTACACTGCCCTTCCCAGTTTGTTTGTTCATCATGTTAGCGAAGCCCTGTGAGCATGCGCTTTATGATCGAGTCTACATGAGGTGTCGCATTTACAGTTCTGAATTATGTTGTGTTACCCAAAAGTTTGGTCCCTGGCTTCAGTGCCAATTCAAAACAATGATGACAAGGTTTTAGCGTAAAGGGAAGAAAAAGTTTCATGTGTTTCTAGATGAGAGCATCGCAGACCTCTGTGTCTTAAGAACTATCATCCTTCTCAAAGAGGCTGCTTGAACTCTTTTTTTTTCTTAAAGATTCATTTATTTTTGTTGCAAAGTCAGATATACAGAGATGAGAAGGGACAGAGACAAATATCTTCTGTCTGATAATTCACTCCCTAAGTGACCACAACAGCCGGTCTGCGCCAATCTGAAGCCAGGAGCCAGGAGCCAGGAACTCCCTCTGGGTTTCCCATGAGGGTGCAGGATCCCAAAGCTTTGGGCTGTCCTTGACTGCTTTCCCAGGTCACAAGCAGGGAGCTGGATGGGAAGTGGAGCTGCTGGGATTAGAACTGGCGCCCATATAGGATCCTGGTGTGTTAAAGGCGAGGACTTTAGCCATTAGGCTACCGCACCAGGCCCAAATTATTTTAAGAAGTGACAGGAGGGTGCATGGTCTGGGGAAATTGTGAAGGAGTGGTTAATCTTTGAGGCCGAGTGCTGAAGCTTGTCCTTGCCATCTCTGTTTTTCCCCTAGTTGAGATAAGGAAGCAGGCAGGGTGCTCCTGAGGAGATGGGTGATTTGGAAGCTCAAAGTCCTTCCCCAGACTGTCATCAGATGCTCTGTGTGAGCTGCCTGCCCAGGGTCACCACCTTGAAATGAGGGTCTGTCAGGCTTCCGCCAGCTGGGGGCTACCTGCAGGAGGTGGTTTCTTTCTGCCCCTGGAATCCCCACTGTCAGAACTGAAATAACACTGAAGAAATCCTTGGAGATAGCCATCGTCTTCCAGCTTTTACCCCTGGGAGTAGCATACGACTTTATGGGTCTGGAGATTGGACTCTTGTAGAATCAACTGTACCAGTCCATTAACTTGGCGAGTTGAGCTGAGGAGAGTTCCTGGGAGACAGAGGCCTGACGGGATCTAGCTTCTGCAGCAAGGCACTGCTTGGTGGTGCAGCTTCCATGGGAATGAATTTGTATCCAACATATGCAAAGAAGGCAGTGGAGGTGAAACTCTGATGTTCTGAGAATGTGAACTGTGTTATGGATATACTGGACCTAATGACTTTGAAGTCAGAAAATAAAAATGAAGGTTATTTACACATTTAATTATAGGCTTGCTAATAACCTCTATGACTTAGAGTGACCTTACTAGATAACTACTCAATATAGCTGTGTTGCCAAACCAGAAAGGAAGGAGGTTTCTCTTCTGGTTAGTTCTATGCCAGTACTCCAGGTGAATGCTATCCTATAAGCCAAATATAATAAATATAGAATAATCCTTCTTATTCTGTACTATGGCATTTTGTTATTAGAACAATATGGTTTATGGCTTTCGCTTTTGTCGGCCTTTCTTAGATCAGTTTTTTCCCTTTGGAGAACTCAGTTTGCTTAAATGCAAACACTTTTCCAATCAACCTTTCTTGAAATTCACCAATGCACCTCACTAAAGGAAATTTTAACCCATAAATTGGATGAAATACCTACTTAAATCAATTTGATCTTGAGCAAAGTAGAAAAACTAGAGCATTCTCTGTTCTGTAGAGATGTCTGTGGAAAATACTTCAGTTGTTCTGTCCTCCACAGTTAGCTCAACAGAGATGTTCTTCTCTGCTTCATATGTTTGCATTTTGAAGCCTTGATAGTTTACATTTTACATGGTTATGTATGTGGGTTCTTTTCTCTTTGTTTCTTTCCTACAGCTTCAGATCTTTAACCCCCCTCCCTGAAAAAAAAAGGAACAATTGTGAATTGTATTTATTTCTGAGTTCCTAATCTCTGAGGAATTGTCTTAAAATATTGTCATCAGTGATGAAACCTAAATGAAACGTATCTAAATCAAAGAAGAGTGCCTTTGGAACATATCTTTGATTGTAACCACACTTTGTGGCTCATTAGCACATCTTCAAGATCTGATTATCCTCTAAGTGTTTCCTCAGCATTAGGAAGCAAGGTTGCTTGTTAAATTTCAAAAGTTTATATTGTTCACAAATGCTAACAGTGTGTTTTAAATAAGATGTAGTTAGTGTGTCATATGCTGAATTTTATTCAAAGGCATAATATTGCAATTCATTGTGAAATTCCTTATTCTACCCTATTCTTTCTTATTTCCCTGCTAGTCAAAATTCCTATTAGGAAGGAGAAAACAGATTGGCTTTTCCGTTAAATAACCGGTCTCTGGGTTGCACTGTGAAAGCTGACAAGTCATGCTCTTAGCATCAGCTTCAGTGGTCTCATACTAGGTTGATGAAAAACCTAAACCAAGAGTGGACTGACAGAGTATACTTTAGTTTGATTTATAGACCCCATCAAACTCAGAAATTAGCAGACTCCAAAGCACCTGTTTCCATTGTCATTCAGGCTCATTGACCAAAATAAAAGAGGCACATAAATGAATCTGACCAACTCATCATGATGACATTCACTGTTGGCAACTGGCAAGGCTGGAAAACAAGGTTTCATCCATCAAGTACCTAATAAGTCCCAAGCTGGAATGCATGCATCCAGAATTCCCTTCTTTCTAAAATAGAGACGGGGCATAGAGTTATTTTTGTTTTCTTGAAGGCAAATGACACAGCTGAAAGAATTTGGAACCAATAAATACTTCTGAAATTTGGCAGTGAATATTTC